AGCTAAGAAATGATTAAGCAGGTTACAAAAAAGCTGTGAATGGAAATTCAAAGCATTTTCAGGCCACATTTTCTCTGCCTTTAATTACGTTCTTCAGTAAATTGGAGGTCAAGTACTGCTTGAGTAACAATACAGCTGAATGGCTAGGGAGACGCTGTGTCTTTTTTTTCAACTATTTTTAATCATCACAGAAAATGTTGGTACTGAGGTAAGTTGTCTACAGATGTGGAAATGGGGTTGGAAAAGGCACTAGATGAAAACCACTTCGGTGAGTTTGTAAAAGCTTGACAAATAGCTAATTTAGGAAAGCTGAACAAAATCAAGGAGCAGTTAAAATTAGATAATGTAGATTTGAAATCACCCAGGTGTGTGACTAATTCAGTAATGTTATGTGGGTGGAGAAAATAGAGTAAAATGGAAAGATACAAATAGTTCATACCTTGGAGCTGAGATAGTGAAGACAGTGGATAATTTTTGCCTGAGTTAATAGTTCAGCAAATGTTTTTGGAGTTGAACTGTCAATAGAAGAAGTTTATGCTATGAGTGACGAAGGAATATGCTATGTGATTATCATTTTAGAAGTACGTATTAATGTTTTGCTGTATTAAAAGTTGCCTTGAGATAACCTAACTTTTAAAATTTTCTTTAATTTAATTTATCCTTAGGAGAAAAAATCCTTGATAATCTTGTGTAAACAATTTGATTTCTTACATATTCCTTTAGCTTGTTATGTGTCCTGGAAAATGTTACAGCTTTGACAAAAGACTATATGTAAATCTAAGTGTTCATTTTTAACTGCACGTTTTCTTTTGCTTTTTGGAAGTGAAAAGAAAGACTGAATTTGGCATGATCACTAGTTTAATAGAAATAAGGTAAATATTGCTCACCTCTAACAAGAAAATATACATTTTTTAAATAAATACACAGATTCCAATGTTACTTGTCAAAAATCTATAATAGACCCTGGACTCTTCAATTTCAACTTTGTATGATTGGCCGCATATATGACAATGTCAACACTCTTGTTCAATACAAGACAAAAACTCAATTACTTCCTGTTGGTAAAAATTTACCCATTGCTATTTCTCTTGTTTGGAATGATATTATGAAACAGTGTTTAAATTACTTTGTTTCTAATTACCATCTAGAAAAATTTACATAGAGCTACTAAAAGTATTTGGCCTATTTTACTTATTTTCTCATTGCTGGAGCAAAATACCTGAGGCTCACAAGTTAAAGGAGGAAAGGTTTATTTTAGCTCACAATTTGTAGGTTTTAGTCCATAGTCAGTTGGCATCAAGGCAGGGAAGCATGGCAGAGGAGGAATGGTCCATGTTATGGCATGCAGGAAGCCATGTGACTTTCTTCTATTTTCCTGTTTACTCTACCAGGATACAAGCCTGTTGCTGGGTGCCCTTGACGCCCAGGGTGTGTCTTTTCTTCTTCAAGTAAGTCAGTCACCCACATGCAGAATTATTTTAAACCAATCTGTGAACTGATCTAGTGTCACATACCCAAAAGCCAGTCATGCCTATCTATAAATCACATGAGTGCTGGGGTGAGACCTAGAAATAAGCCTTAAAAAAGACTAAAGAAAAATTTAGAGGAATAAAAATTGTAGGGTTTTAAGAGTTATAATACATCCATCAACTGAGGAATGGATAAAAAAGTTGTGGTAGTTTTATACAATGGAGTACTACTCAGCTATAAAGAAGGATTCATTGAGATATTTATAAATAAATGGATGCAACTTGATACCATACTCATAAGTGAAATAAATCAAACTCACATGTATAAATGCCGCATAGTCTCCCTAGTGTAAGAAATGGTAAGAGTACATAAGAGTGTATGGTAATCATGATTCTGCATTACATTGCTTTGAAGCCTTATAATGTTTGCCTTCATTAGTTGGAATTTGTTCTGGGTTGTTTGATTTTATTATCTGTGATGGTATGAACAGCTATTTTGAAGAAAACAAGACATTATAATAGCTAGTGCTGATTTAGTATCATCTTACTCTGAAGTCCTACCATGCTTTTGTTCTTTTGTTTCCATTGGTTCTATCATATTGTATCTTATTGGATTTTATTATGTGTAATAGTATAAACAAATTTTCTATGGAAAATGAAATAATGTAGCAGCCATTGTTCATTCTCTGTTATTTGGTTCTGAATGCCCTGTAATACTTTCATTCTCTTGAATGGTTTTATACTATTTTGTTACGTTTGATACTATTGTATGTGAATGTATGCTCAACTATTTCAAAGAAAGAGACATTATGGTAGTTACTGTTATATTGGGTTGTCTTGTGGTGAAATACTGTGTTGCTTACATTGTTCTGTTCTGATCTGCATTGTTATGTCCTCTTTTGTCTTAATCTCTTTAAAATAAAAAAGCGTTTGAAAAAAGAGTTATAATAAAACTGTAAACGGAGGACAAAGCCTTGTGATAAGTCTCTAGACAAATGCACATCTGGGTTTGAGGAAAATATGCCTTCAGAATCCTCCAAGAAAGCTTTATATTTCTTAGTTTTTCATTCAAAGCATCACAAATGGATGTGGCTAACAGTGAATGGGTTGGTATTTGAGATTAAAAATTCTGACTTAAAATTGCAAATATATGACAGTGAAAAATCAATAAGTTCTAGTATAGTTTGGTGCCTTAGCTTTGATTCATGCTTAAATGCAGAGTTTTAGAATTATTGCTTTGCAAAATCAAATTTTGACACAGTCAAAAAAGACAAATAAGATCTTAATCCTACTCCAAGCTTTTAGAATACATTTTACTTTAAAATACCAAATAAGGGACTGGGGATTTAGCTCAGCAGCATAAGCGCCTGCCTGGCAGATGCAAGGTCGTGTGTTTGATCCACAATACCAATAAATAAATAAATAAATAAATACAAATAAGGAGTTAAATTACTTGATAATTTTTATATGGTCATTATTAGTAAGTACATAAAACTAGATCAACTAGATCATCATTAACTATTTTCATTTAAAAATTGAAATAGTTAATAATGTAGGGGTGAGAACATAGAGCAACAAAAAGTTACAACTTGTGAAGTTAGCCACTTGGGAAAATAATTTGACATTACCAGTATAATGTAGTATAAACATAAATTATGACTCAGTTCCACTTCTGAGGCTATCTCTTGAGGTCTTTCATATAGAAGCCTGTTTACAGAAAACCAGCAGAAAACATCTCCTAGGAGACTACCAAAAACTCAAAACAAAATATACAAAAGACTAGCACCACTAACACCAATAAAACTTCTTGGTACATGAATGTGTAATGCAACCTTGGACAGAAGTAAAATGAACCAGCTAGAGTCATTAAATCTCAGGAACACAAAGTTGAAAAATACTAACAAAAAAGTTACAGAAACTATAGGAAGTATTTCATTTCCATAGAGCTCAAAGTATTGAAAATTAAAGTAATCTTTTAAAAGAAATATCTTTTCACAAATGTATTCTGAAATTCAAGGCAGTAATAGAAGTAAAAGTCTGAGTTACCTCTTAAGTGTGTGTCATTTGTCCATAGGGACATTGCTGTAGAATACTGTACACGTTAGTGATGATGTAGTCCTAAAACTCTGGGTGAGTGTACTAGTGTTGTTTTTGTTAGTTTTAAAAATTACAGTACATTATGAACATTTTCGTTTATTTCATACTCAGTAAAAACAAAGTCAAAACTTTCAAATGTCGACATCAAAGATGGGTGTAGAATTATCTTTATAGTTGTTGGTAACACTTTATAGTTATATGGTAACACTTCAGTTCCATAAATAATTCCACACATCTCTATCATTTACCTTGAGTAAAAATTAGTCCACAAATGATTACCTGTGACAATGTTTAAAAAATTGTTTTTCGGTATACTGATTATAATAAGGTAAAATATTTTTGCACAAAATTTTAGAAACTTTAGAAGTTTATTTCCTGGAAAATACCTAGTATCTTCTTTCTGGAATTTTTTGTCTAAGTCTAAGTCTTTTTTCATCTTTCTCTCTCTTTCTCTCTCATTCTGTCTCTCTCTTGTTCTCTCTTTCGCTCTCTGAGCTACTGTCTTTCTCCACAATTTCCTTACCTTGTAAATGAGCAATACTGTTTTCTATTTCACATGATTCATGAGAAAACATGTATGAAATTTGGCAATAACTAGACATTTAAGGATTCAATACGTGTTACTGTGATAGTTTGCTATTTTTACTTTGTATAATATCTATTTTTTATTTTAAAATCTTTTTATGTATATTAATGACCCAGTCTATGATACTCAATCTGTGATTGGGTGGTGATCTCTGGTTATGCTAGCTCTGCAGCACAATGTCTGCCTAGCAAGTGTAAGGCCATGAGTACCGAGAGAGAGAACAAAATGTGCAACCCAAGGCGCCCTTAAATCTATGACAGTGTGACTTTTCTTATCATTTTCCCACTACCCTTGTCTTTTTTAAAAAATAAACAACATTTTTTTCTTTCCGTTCTCTTAAATTTTCAGCTGTTATTAATAGAAATGTTATTTAATGGGAAATGGTCATTCATACATATTTTGGGAACTTTAGTTTGTAACATATCGTACATAGCACAAGCACAAAGGATGGGAACCACCATCAAATGTTCACACTTTGCCAACGGAAAACAAAACTTTTTGCATTTACACTGAAAGCAACTGTTTTGAGCATAAAGAGAAGAGCATTAGTTATTGACTTTAAAAATTTTCCAAAATTACATAAACCTAATACATTATGAAAGATTTTTCAATTGCTTAAGATAGTTATAATTCATTTAACCCAGTCCTTTACACTGAAAATATTTCACAGGTAATTTTTGAGCTTAGCATGACAAATATAACATTACTGAGGTACTGAAAAAAGGATCTATTAATACAATGGCAAATTATTTCAGAATAATGTACTTCTCTTGTTGGGAATAAAGTAAAAATGCCTATAAACTTCACATAGAATGCAATATCATGAAATGCTGTGTTTCTTTGTTCAGAAAACCTAGTGAAGTGACAGATGGAAGTCAATACCAACCTGATGATTCACACAACGTAGCTGTTCATGTTAAAAAAGCGCATGGTGGCTATGCCTTATATGGACCAGAAAAATTCACAGAAACTTTTGAAGAATTTCTCTATATCTTAAAGAAATTGTGAGTATTTTTAATATGCTACTACTTTAGAATAGCTTTTTTTTTTTAAACAAGAAGTTGGTCATTTGCAGATAAGAGCTATATATATTTTTTCGATGTTCTATAGTAGTACTGCAGTGGTGACGAACCTCTGGCACATGTCCCACATCCCATCGTTTATTATAAATTTGAAAGCTCTAAAAGGTTTGTCATCACTGTACAAGTGTTTGATTCCTGAAAATCTGAAATTTTGCTCCAGTATGAATATAGTTCTAATGAACTCAGTCTTTATAGTGTGTCTTGAATATATTGCCAAACTTTATGGTCATCATTTTAAGTTGTACAAAATATGTATTATATACTGGTGTTGCTAAATAAAATTATGCTTGAGATTTCTTTAGCTTTTGACTTGATGGCTTTGTCTAGAATTTAAACTTTAGTCTGTATCATAGAGCCTTTAAGTACATTTACTTTTTAATCCTTTACTGTGGAACAACTTTATGTTCTATTGAGACACAATTGATTTGAGAAGAAGGAAGAAGGGAAAAGAGAAAGAAAAAAAAGGGCTTAAGTCTGAAAGTTTACAGGCTACCAGAGATGGTACTGCATTTGTGAAGAAAAGTTTGAAAATGACCTTGAGAAAATATACTATTGGAATTGAGATTCATAATGGAGACAAAATCCAGAGAAGTCTCAACATCAGAATTGTTCTTAAAAGAAAGATCAGTAACATGAAATGAGTAACTAAAAAATGTAGTATTTTTGTTATGAGTTATAATTTTATTCCATCAGCTCTTTCTTCAAATAGTAATTGCATGCCTGAAAAAAATACAATAAGAACTTCCAGGAAATTTGAGATCATATTTCTGATACTTTTAATGTATTACAGTGATTTATCATAACGAATTGTATGTGTGCATGTGTCTATGTGTGTTTATGTGTGTGTGTAAGTAAGTAATGCTAGTGTGAGTGTAAGCAAGTGTAAGAGACTCATAGAGAAGGAAATCATAACTAACAACCATACAAAATTACAATCAAATTAGTAAATTGTAAAAACATGAAATTCAACTCAAAAATCCTCATTGACTTTGATAAAATATATATTTTATCTGGTAGAAAATAACAGAAGCAGTGAAAGTTATTAGAGATGTTGCAATCATATTCATTTTATTGAATTATTGTGTCAATAATACTAAATTTTATTCAATTTGTTTAGTTTCCATTATCCATGAGTCATGAACTGCTAATTGAGATCACGCTGGCTGGCATGGTTGTGGTAACTCATAATTTCTGACTATAATGTGGCATCATGATGTGGGTTCTGACATGAGGAACAGGAAGAACTCAGCAGTAGAAACTCCCAAGTAGCTATGGTTCTCTAGCAATGTGTCAAAATACAAGGAAGTACATGTAGATTGTTGTTAGAATGGAAACCACAAATAAATAAGAATCCTATTACCATTTTAGCAAACAGCTGAAGTGAGTTCAGGAGCCCTGGTAGAAGGTTGTCCAAGTACAGGGAAGACAAGAAACCACTTTGCTGTGCCATTATATGGAAATTCATGGGTTGCATTTAACATCCAGTCTCCAACTACCCAGGACAATGGGTCAGTGTCAGTTTCCAGTACTTCTCTCTCCACTCCTGTGTGACAGACAGGTGAATGAGGTAGTCCTGCCATCAGGTAGGACTCCAGTCTCTCACTATCAGAGGCTCAAAGCCTGTCTGGGAGGATTGGTCACATGGAAGATCTCACCACCGCGAATGGCTGGAGCTGTGGCATCTGCTGAGTTACAAAAATAAAGTAAATGGGAAGGGAACTCAATTCATGTGATGTTTAATATTCATATAAAGCTTTAAATTCTATGCAGAAAATGTGTGATTTAATCCTCATATCAATACTTTGTGGTAAGTTGAAATTTATAAAAGCAGTGTATATGGTAATTCCATAGTCTATGTTTTCCTGTAGGGCATGATTTTTCTTATTTCTGCTTGGGGACAGTAGTATGTTAGTTTTTATGTTGTGTAGAAAATGATGATCAACTTGGTGCCTAAAAGTAAAATTCATTTCTCATTTCTCTGGGCAAATTTTATCTGGTCTGCTCTGTATCTCAAGATTTAAACAAAGTATGTACTATGATGTGTTTATTTGTGGAGGATGGAGAGAATTTAATTGCTGGTGGCTGTAGGACTGAAGTTTCCACTTTTGCTAGCTTCCAACTGGGGCATCAGTCCTAGAGCCCTCACAGATCCTTGTCAGGTGGTGCGCTGTCTCATTCCTTCTTGTACCAGGTAATCTTGTATCTTCAAAACCAGCAATGGAAGTGTTTATCTTTCTCATTCTCCTAAGTTTAACAAAATTATAACTTAGTAATATGTCTCTCTATTCCAAAACTGTTGCCATAACCATAAAATATTAAAAACCTGATGTGCTACATTGCATTGGCAACTTCATCACTTCAACTTCTACTGGATCAGATTTTCAATTTCATGCTTGGTGAGAAGAAGGATATATATTTTGGTTAAATCATTAGTATTAGCATTAAAATTGTAGCGTTGATGCCAACAAAAAGATGTGAGCAACAGAGGATACTGTGCAATTGGGAAGTAGCTTGTAAAGGGGGGGGGTGGAGGGAAGAGAGAGAAAGAGAGGTGAGAGAAAGGAAGAGAGAAACAAAGTTGGGAGCCTCTTTCTTAAATATTGTATTTTAAGGCAGCAGACTAGTTAAAGTTATATATATATATATTTATTATAATATACCTACTAAATATATATAAATTTATGTGTATATGCATATAATATACATATATATTAGTTAAATATTAGAATGTAAGTAACAGCACCTGACCCCAGTTAGTTAAAACAACTAGAAAGCAGGAGTGGAGAGTCCATTGAAGAATATTAGATATCTCTCAGATGGAAGAACAATAACAATATGGAGAAGATAATAGGAAATCTAAGTTGATTTTGAAATCTCTTTAAGGTACAACATTGAAATCAAACAGGTGTCACTACCTTCAGTAGGGAGTTATCTGGTTTACACTTTAATTTCAGAAATAGTCAGATTTTTGTAGTATACATTTGAATAAATGTAATGTGCTCCTTGAATAAATGTTAAGAAAAGTGCACTTTCATGAGTATTTTTACTGAGTAAATATACAGTCGATAAAGGCAAGCATTTCAAGAGGAAAAGTATTTCAGGAGTGAACAGTGAGCACAATGCTAATTTAAAATCTGTAAACTAAAACATGACTTGCAATTTTAATTTCTAATTTACTGATTAATAGTTTACTCTCTAAATAATGAGCTCAACATATGTTTCAAATTTCTTAAATATTTCTAGTAATGTTCCACATGGTTAGGCTGCAGAAAAAATCATGTCTTGACCATCATGGAACTTGTATTCTAAAGTAAGAGACAGGTAATAAGCATGAAATGTCTTATATGATTAGGGATAAATTCTAGGACAGTGATCCTCAATCATTTCAGCAGAAGGAGTTTGGGATGATTCAAGTGCTTTACATTTACAGTAAATTTAATTTCCATTATTATTACATTGTAATATATAATCAAATAATTATGCAACTAACTACAATATAGAATAATGGGAGTCCAAGCTTGTTTTCCTATGATTAGTCCCATCTTAGAGTGATAGGAGACAGTTTGGTGGCATACCTGAAGTGTGTTGCAAATGTCCAGTCTACACTGTAATCTAATTTGGGTTACCATTAAATGTTAGCTTACTTGTCGCTTGTTGCTCTCTAATAGAATTTTGATCTGAATTTGCAAGAAACTTTATGGTTTCTATTCAAATATCTCTGCTAATGTTAATCTGTATTTGCAGATGTTCCCCAGCACTAGTATCACTGCCTTAGTTGCACCTCAAATCATCAGGCATGAGATTCTCATAAGGAGCACACGTGCTAGATCTCCACAATGGGATCTGCACTGCCATCAGAATCGGTTGCTGTTGCTGATCTTGCAGGACGTTGAACTCAGAAGGTCACATGAACAATGGGAGGATGCTATAAATACAGACAAAGCTTTGCTTTGCTGGTCCATTGCTTATCTCTTGCTGTGAGGCATGGCTCCTAACAGTCTGCAGACTAGTAGCAGTCCACGACCTCGGGGTTAGGAACCTGTGGGCTAGAAAAAAATTACGAATCCAGAAAAAGCAATAGAGCTTAGTGGAAATGATTACAAAAATCTTTTTTAAAAGGTAAACTGATCAGATAATTTTTTTTAAATGAGAGAGCTAGCTAAGTAAATATCTCAGGCACAGGCATTCTATGCAGAAGAAACACAAATACAAGAATGGCAGAGGTGTCAGCATGGTTTGAAAATAGTGAAAACAACCCCATATTAACTCATGAGGAGGACATTACTGTGACAGAGCATGGGAAAAGGCAGGGAGCTGGTAGAGAAGAAGCCTCAGAGTGGACATGAGACAGCCTCTTGTTTAGGATGTGTAGACTGTGATAGAATCTCAGGGTTGCTGCGACTGCATGTTATTATTCATATGATGATAGATCATGTGTAGGTAATGGGCTGTCAGTGTCATTAGGAGATTGGGGTAAACTCATACAAAGTTTGGAATTAGTCTAGATAACAAGTGACTGTGGCCCCCATTCTATATTAGAAAGTCTAATTGAGCATGCAGAATTTAATTTTGTTTCTGTTTGCAAGACAGAGCATGATTTTCTTTATGGTCTTGCGTGGAGATCTTTGCCCCACTCACCATTACGCTGGAGAATGAAGGCCGTCACTTAGTGCTCTCCCAAGATTTATTTGATTACATTGTCTGATAACATCTTTTAAAAAGATAATTGTGAAATAATTTGGTACAAATAATTTGTTTGTTTGTAAATGACTAATCTATGAAAAAAGGGATGCATATGTGTGTTTATAGAGTTGTGAAAAGGTAGGAGAAGGGAGAAACTTATAGATGAGCTGTGGAAATAGTTTATGCTCCTCTGAGAAAACTTGGCCCAATTGTTTTTTCTTCTGCTTTCTCCAATTAAA